AAACAACAAAGTCCTAGATTCCTGTCAACGGACATTTTTCAGCTTGTAAGGAGACATACCAAGAGCTTAAGAAGCTTGTTTCAATTGTTTATTAATGGTATAAAATGGTTTTCCTCTTCCTGCTTCACATTGAAAGAAATTATACACCTTAAAAATCAACTGGAGTATCACACCTTGTCAGTCAACAATGAGGTATATTATGTAGCACATGCAGTATGTGTTTGTGCTGTTCCTCCTACCCTAGTGCCCCCCTCCGTTCAAGATGTGAACTTGTACAGATAACAATGATAGTTCCTTAAACAACTTTTTCTTTTGATGAAAACAAAAATAAAAAACAGCAGAGATTGTTAGGTACAGGATATTCATTGCCATGTACCGTATTGACATTTAGGAGACTATTGCTGATCTTGAGTTATTTTGCAATTCAGCGTTCTCATTTGGAGCCAAACGGACTGTAACAGATATGAATATACTCTCGAACAATCTGGCTGCAGTGATATTCCATGGTGATAATATGTGACCCAGGGGAAACCCTGCATAGAAACACATGACAACAGGTGAACTGTTGTTGTTGAAATACAGCTTGTTGTTGGCTGCAAGGCTGAGTGCTCCTGGTGTCTGACAGCTTTGTACAATCAAGTGAAACAAGTTTGTTTGTCCGAGGTACAGTGGTAGGATGTGCAAAGACAGTTCTGTGTGAACAAACACACCTGACTGAGTGTATGACATTGTCTGTGACATTTTTATTACAGAATACATTCTAACCTTGTTGGAACTAATATTTTTCTGTCTCTGCTTCCAGATTTCTCCTTGTATTTCATAGAGTAAAAACACTGGCTACCTAAATCTGAAATCTTGTGACAATATCCAGCTAGCCTGGCTGGCGAGTGGTGATGAATACCTTTTTCATACACTGGTTATAAGAAAACATTGAGCTTTGAAAATTGAAATAAATAATAGTTATACCTACACTTTCCGAGGTGTATCTGTCAATATTGCAGTTTATATACAGTTTGGGTCATGTGGCCTTGGAGGCCTCACAGTCAAAACTGTAAGGATATTTGCCGCGAAGGAGGGGGCCTCACAGTCAAAACTGTATTGATGTGGCTTGGCAATCACCTTCTTCAGTCTCCCGTGCCATCTCTCCAGCCTGGTGTATAAGCAGGGTCCATCAATGAAACACTTGCTTTGGTCACACAGTTCCATCAGATCTAGTTTCCCGCCTTCCTCTTGTTTGCCCTAACCATCTGTACACAAATACCTACCACTGCAGGAGTCAGAATGGACGTTTAGTCCTTCTTCAGTCTCCTGTGCCATCCCTCCATCCTGATGTATGATCAGGGTCAATCAGTGAAACACTTGCTTTGGTCATACAGTTCCATCAGATCCATTTTCCCGCCTTCCTCTTGTTTCCCCTAACCATCTGTACACATATATCTACCACTGCAGGAGTAGGAATGGACGTTTAGTCCTTCTTCAGTCTCCTGTGCCATCCCTCCAGCCTGATGTATGAGCAGGGTCAATCAGTGAAACACTTGCTTTGGTCATACAGTTCCATCAGATCCATTTTCCCGCCTTCCTCTTGTTTCCCCTAACCATCTGTACACAAATATCTACCACTGCAGGAGTCAGAATCGATTTGTAGTCGAACTTTGCCTTAATGAATATGATACTGTCCACCAGCATTTGGATAGAACTTATACTTTTCATGTTGATTTATGACATATATTTCATCTTGAATTGAGAGAACGGTTTATTTAGTCACATCTTTGATTGAACTCAACTCACGACATATGACTCCATACCTTCTGAATTAACTCTACTCACTTAATATCCTATTTCAGTTCCTGAGTGAATACATTTCACAATTTTACAACAGCCAATGTTTTAATTCTGTTAAAAAACACAACATGCAACATCAAAGGCATTTTACCAGAACTCCAAAGGTCTAGTTAAAGGGAATTGACAAGAGGCAACACTTAATTCTCCACTGAGGGTTTAACATATTAGAAAGGCAGGGTATTAGCAGGACAAGGGAACAATTAGATACCTACATGATACAGTGCCCTGCATAATCTTTATCTTCGTTAGGTGAATGGCATGTTTCAAATGGTAATATACTGCCTAAGGCTTTGAACATAAGGAGAGTTTACAACATTTGGAAACAATAGCATATTTTGAAACAAATGTTTGTTAATTAAGAACTAAATGATGAAGGGGAATTGTTGATCATACAACAAAACACTGCTGGGAGATTAAACCAAGGGGGGCCCAGCCCCAAGTCGTTCTCCTTGCAGTGTTTTATTGTACAATAAACAACGACCACAAGTTGTTATTTCGTATATGAGATATCAACATTATTTGCCCCCTCCTAATTATCAAATTATAAAATCTACAGGTGGCTCATTTGAATACAAACCAATCTGGGCAAGTCGGACAAATCCACTTTATTAACAGGAGGGTTAAGTTTGGTATTTCCTGGCCATTCTCACAATTCTGACGTCAATTATCTGTAACTTTTCTCCCAAAACTGATTGTGATATTTCACCCACTTTTGGAAACATTGCGCTTATCTGCACTGCCCAGCTACATCTTAGTGAAACAACTCACTACCCTCTCAAAAATAGCGTTGTGCAATTTACAATGTCATCTCCAGAAATGACATCTTGATAGAACAATGTTTCATCGTGAAATAATCTACGCCTCATTCTTCATTATTCTTTCCAAATTAATCTCATAGCTATCTTATATAGTTAAATAATTAATATAATAATAATTTATTTACAATGATATAATTATAAACATGAATTGACGTGAAACGTGTTATGTATATGCTTAGCATATTATAAGATATTATATGCTTGTGATTCATATGCATACTACGTGTATATGAAATAGAAAATGCTGATACATCTAGTTAACGATATCGTCAACATTTGAGGGTTGATTGATAAGTTCTAAGCTTCACTTAACTGTATATTAATTAAATTCTTTCGTTGTGGACATTACATGATGTCATAGAGGTATATCCACAAACACTTGAGTCAACTGAGCAGATTGTTTCACTGCAACAAGTCAGTAAAATATGCAGGAATCTGTGACCTTTGGAAATGGAAAAAACTTGAATGACTTGCATTGATCTTCCTATGCCACCAGAGGTGGGCGGCAGGGTTAAAGTGTGGCAGGGAGAGCCTTCAAGACAACCCCCATCCTGGAAGACCTTTCACATCAGCAACACCAGAAATGATCCAGAGAATTCATGATATGGTGATGGCCGACTGGTAAATGACTGAGTGTCATAGTGTTAGTTAGATAAGCATTTCCCATTACAGTGTACACTCCATTACCACAGAAACTTTGGCAATAAAGAAAATGTCAGCTTCTTAGGTTCCAAAGTTTCTGAAATCTGATCAAAAACATATCAGGCACAACATCTTGTGATAATCTAGCTCTGTTTGAAGCTGATTCAGAAAGGTTCTTGCAATAATTTGTGACTTTGGATTCAACCTGGGTTCACCACTCACAGCCTGAGTCCAAACAACAATCAAAACAGTGGAAACATTTGACATCACCACCAACAAAGATGGCAAAGACTGTCCAATTAGCTGGAAAGGTTATGGCCTCCATGTTTTGGGATGCTCAGATCGTCATCATGAGAAAAAGAAGAAGTGTATTCATGAATGAAGGCCACATGGCCTGGAGTTCATTTACAGGAATAATATATACTATGCACATGCACAAATGTTCTTACAACAAACGTTCATCTTTTTTGACATTTGTATTTGCATAGGTAGAATCATAATGGTGGATTATCAAGAGAAGGACTTCTATAAAACTGGGATAAAATACCTCCGTCGTTGTCAGCAAAAGTGTATCAATGTTGAAAGGGATTATGTTGTAAAATAAATCATTTTAATGTCTTCAGGTCAATCTTTGAATGTGAGGCTCAGAACCCTCATACATCAACATACAGACCAGCGTGGAAATTGGCACTAGTCCTGTAGTCCTTACAAAACTGCCCAATAGTTAAGGTATCACAAGGACAAGAAGAAATTTGCTATTTTTAGGGGTTTTGCTATATGGTATCATTATAAATACCAGTGGACTAAAAATGTTAGTTACTACCGCTGCAGGCAGTTATGATTACTTTACTAAAAATACAGTTTCAAGCAGAGCTTTACAAGAAAAGCATAATCTTAAAGGTAATTCATGCACAAGTGTAAACATCTCCGGGAAACCAGAGTTCCAGATTATTCTTAGTAGATTGTGGTTTTGCTTTCAAATTAACATACATGTAGTTCAGTTCTTTTTCATGTTATATGTTAATGCATCTGTTGTTAATATCATAAATAATTTATATTCAACAAATGGGACAATGACAGCCAAAAACTAAATAGTGCACACACAAAAAAAGATTTACACTATATATCAAAGCCATGAATGCCACATTAGGCATCAGGTGATGCATTATTAGCATTGAATTAAATACAAAAATATTTGTGTGGCTGAATATTCTGTTTTATTTGGGAGTTGTTCAGCATGACTTTAGTGGGGAAAGACAATGTTTATGCTGTTCAAGTTAATAAATATGGTTTTATATCACTTTTAGTTTTAGCAATATTCCCCCACCAGAAATCCGATTCAACCGATTGGTTACCCCAACATATGTTGTACTGTTTAAAGTGCAGGATAGTTAGTTTTGCTGGAATCATAGACACATAGTGATGCGGGGGCACGGGTTTTGCATCCCATTGGCACGCCAGAAACCTATGATTGTGGGTTCGAAATCCCGGTTCACCCCGATTATGTTTCTAGGTTTGTCAGCAAACCCGTGCTCGTGGGTTTCACCGCAGTGGTAAATGTCTAAGACCTACATCCCTTTGGGCTTTCCTCCCACATTAGGCTGACACGCCGTGATATAACTGGAATGCTGTTAAAAGCAGCGTTAAACACAACTCATTCACTCACTCATAGTGATGCAAAAATCAAATCACACATACCTGTTGTTGATTCTTCTGATGATTGTTGATATCGAAAATATTTCCTTCCCCTTGGTAAAAGCCACTGAATGACGAAGGTCAAGGTCGCCAAGGCAAGAAAGCCTTGTGCCAGCCATCTGCACACCAACCCAGCATCTGTGGGGAAATAGCATGGAGATCTGTTGAGAACCTATTATCCATTACTTGATTTCCAATAACAATGTATTATTTCCTCTCAGTGGCATCATGCCGATTATGTTGTTCTTTCTTTATTACACAAGGCAGATCTTTCATTTCTTGTTATCAGTTTGGTTATATGGTGGTCAGTTTATCAATCTGATACATTGCTGGAAGTATTTACTCAATAGTTTATCAATGTAAGTCAGTCCACAGGGAGCCTGTTGTAATTAGATTTTGGAAAGTGTTTGACGACGCTAGTTAACTTTGAACAATATAGGCAAGTTGTGGGTCTGTTCTTGAGAAATATTCTTCACAAGCTTGATCAAATTTATCACAATTGTATATTACTGTGCCTATATAGCCTCTCCTAGAAAAGTCTTGCAATTATGTACAAATAATTCATCTTACCTATATTCAATTACTGTAGTAACTTTGGAATAATTGTACTTAGATCAAGAATTGATACTGGAAAGATTCAAAATCTGAAACCATTATCGCTAAGGTGCAGAAATCAATCAATATCTTCATCTTTATTCTGCAAAATGGTAAATAATTTAGCACCAGCTTATCTCTGCAAACTTATCCCCGACAAAGTTAAATAAAAATATGTTTAAACCGTTTTCAATAACATACTACATACAATGACAACTGCATATGGCTGTCATGCTAGATCAGGCCATGTTGTTTTCTTGACTCATGTGTGGAATTTCTTCGGCAACATCACCCATGAAGATCTGGGTTAGAATAGGTCTTCATCAACCCATGCTTGCCATAAAAGGTGACTTTGCTTGTCACAAGAGGCAACTAACGGGATAGGGTGGTTAGGCTCGCTGACATGGTTGAAGCATGTCGTATCCCAATTGTGTGGATTGATGCTCATGATGTCGATCACTGGATTGTCTGGTCCATACTTGATTATTTACAGAACGCAGGTGGACAGGCGGGCCAGCTAGTGAGTGACCACTAGACTACCCTGCTGCCCCTCTCAAGGGATGAAGGTATTTAATCTTTAACACCTAGGCGAACCCCACTAAAACAGATGTGGTGCTGACAGAAACAAGGCCAATTATATAACAATAGTGACTGAGTTTATGTTTAACACTACTTTTGTCTCAGTCTGATGTTGAAGGAAAACCTGAAGACCATATCATATGGTGACACCAACATGCATCAGAATGTTGCTGACTAAGCAATGATTATAACCTCGCCAAATCTTTTATTCAAATCAGCAACCTGTAGAACCCGCACAACTCTTCACAGCAATTACCGTATTCGACTTAATAAGCGCCCTGCTCTAATAAGCGCCCACAGCGACATTTGCTAATATATTGGCTGGTGAACAATCCCAATTAGCATCCCTTCCGATTGATCAATGTACACAAGACTTACTCATTCGCGTATAATACGCACTCGTGTGTTATATGCACCCTTAGTTATGGGCTAATAAATTCTGGGTTATATATATTATATTTGTCGTACATAAATATTTCAGTCTGTAAAAAACACGAAATTTATCTTTCAACTCTGTTTTTTTCACCAAAATAATATTCTAATAAGAGCCCCTTATTTCTAATTTTGAGAGCGCCCTGGGCGCTTATTATGTCGAATACGGTAGTTGTATTTAGATCCCTGGGATCAAGTGCCTGATGATTGTGTATTATGAGCATACATGATCTGCATGCGGTGAAGCAGTTATGACAGGAAGGTAGCAACAGTTTTATATAGAACAGTTAACATGGGTATAAGTTGTGTTGAATTTTCTTATTTCCACTATGGCTAAAAAAAATAACAGTCTTGGTTCTCAGGCACCGCTATCATTATCAAAAAGTCTGCCGCACGTTTTGCTTTTATTTCCATCTTAAAAAAAGAAATTCCTTAAATGTTCCTTGTCTCGAACACACGATGCTGGCAGTGAAATGCTACAATACTTAAAAACAATACAGTTTTAGAAAGACCGAAGACTATGTATCTCTAAGGACTAATGTTCATTTCAAGGCGAGATCATGGCGAGTTGATGTCATTTGCCGATCAGTTCATACATGATTTCGCCGAAATTAATGTGAACAAAATGGAATGAAATCTTGGATAAAAGTAATATAATGGATTACAAATGTAAGCCCAGATACCGAATGAACGCTTTTATAGCCAGATAGTGTAATAACAGGACTAACTTGTGTACTTCAGTACAGATTTGTTGAGATGCTTCTTCTTGTATTGTGTGCTCACGACGACGTCTTTGTGTTGTGAAATATAATCAAAGCTTATTGAATGCATGTTTTATGCACACATTGGTTGTCCAACAGTTGTCAAATATTGTATTCCATTATTTCACTCATAAAGGAATACATTTAGCTAAGGAGGCCCTTTCCCAGGTTGATTGTACACAACTGTATATTTGGTTTCATACTAGTTTGAATAACCAAAAAAAATAAACACTGCCTGCCTACACTATATTTTCAAAAGCCTTTGCCTGAGAACCAGTTCTTTTATTTTTTAAGCCTAAAAATATTACTCTACATCTGCCATATAGGAGCTGCATCTATCGACTCTAAACAAACTTTATCTCGAGTTCCATATACTCACAACATAGAACTATGGTTTTCATGTTTAAAATCAGATAGAATTCAGGTTTCACATTTTGGAGACGTAAATGCTTGGAATCTTGGAAGAAATCACACTCCTTGCGTTTTCAAAAAAAACCACTTCAGTAAACCCACGAGCACGGGTATGGTGCTGACAAACCTAGAAACATAATCGGGTCGAACCGGGATTCAAACCCGCAATCAAAGGTTTCTGGCGTGCCCAACTCTGCACAGCGAATCACCTTTTTTATAATAGTCGCTGCAAATGTATATTTAAACTCGAAGCAAAGCGAAATATTATTCCCTTGCACTAAAAATAGACAAAGGGAAACCCTGATGGTAACAGACAAGCTGGCTTCATTCGAAAAATATACTTATATGTATATCACTGATGTTTTTTTCAACAACAAAGATTTATAAGGTACTTTATTTGCCAGTCCACAGTTACTGCCAGTCAAATAAATTACCGGTCCAAGCCTATAGTCTGGAAGGTAATTTAAGGTAACCCTAACACCGTATTCGTGTGTGCGTGATTCCCGTGCAACCTTTCGAGTTGAGTTGATTGGTTCAACTGTGTCATATGGCCCTGTGACGCAGGGGTAGCATTATGCAGATGGCTGTTTCAATGAATGCTCGTTCCCCCCTTGGATGAACAGGTCTGGTTGTTGATGAAATATAGTGATAGCTAAATAGACAGATTTATTATTCATGCACCGATTGTCTTTAAATGTAATATCCAGTTATGTATGACTGTTTAATAATCTCATACCAACTTTGACTGGAGTAGGTCCGATAGTTTTTCAGATATTGTAGTAAAAGTTGGTACCTTAAATTACCTTCCAGACTATAATTTTAACAGTAAAAAAATGGTAATTAACGGTAAACCGGAACACTTGAGTATGTATGGGCACGGGTTTGGTGCTGACAAAGCATTGTGTGGTGTAATCAGGACTAATCACAGATGTCATCATAGACTTGTTGCACACTTAGGGAACTGCACCACCTAAAACAACTGGGACCACCATGCATGACCCTCAACACTTTGAAAAGCTGTTTGAGGTTGGGATTAAGGGAAACAGAATACAAAGAGTTTGTTTCTTATATCAAAACATAACACTGACAATAAAGATATATGCAATTATTCCAAAAGAACAATCAAAGGCTTGTTTTCCTTTTTAGAAAGGAAACGCATATTGCCACTTTATATTTTTTTTATTAATATGTTGCACTATAGATTTGTCATGGACTTTATTGCCTTTTTCAACATTTTTGATATTTTCGATGGAGCTACTATGCGACAACACAACATATTTCAACATTTAAAAATTTCACATCACATTGTTGGTCTGTGGTACAAATCACAGATGTTATTCTAAGAGCAACAATGTGTCCAAATGTTGCATTGTCACATTGCTTTGTTGCCCTTTAATTTTGTTAATTTTGCGGATAATTTTCGATTTGTAAAGTGCGAAAATGCAACACTACTTCTACAGTATGCAGTTTTAGCCACTAGTCCAAGGCAGAGTCAAGTAAAATTCTGTTCAGTCTAGTAAGCTCATCTAATGATAGTCCGTATAATAACACCAAATCCTACTGAAAATGACGTCAAGAGCCAAGTTTGGGGCAAGAAGTCATAGACATTTTTGGCAGAGACTGCTTCCAGAATTCCATACACATGTGATTGTCCTCACTTGTATGTATACTAGGGGTGTCACGATAAATCGAAATATCGAAATTTTGCTATTGGTAAGCACTTAAAGTCAATAAATCGATTGTTAAATCAGTTTTCGATCAATAGTATTGATTTCAGTTAGGAATATCGATAGTTTCGATTGTATTTACCACATCATGCGATTGAGTCACCGAAACACGCACGCAGTAAATAAAGTATCATGGAAGTTTCTTTTTCTTAAATTATTACGGTAAAGAAAAAACTGATCAGTAATATCTCAAACTTTACTTTTTATTTGTTGTTATGGTTATCTCATTGAAAGGAAACTTTAGTTCCAAGGTTTCATTCAACTCTAAAATCCATCTAAAATGATACACTGAAAACTATCACTATTTATTGCAATAGTTTCTTTCAATATCAATAGTTATCGCAGCAGTGATTTCCAGACAAATAGTCACCCCTAATGTTTACTGATTTTGACACTCCAATATCATAGTATGAAGTAATCAGTGCTATTAATACATTACTAATTACCTGAATTCTTTAAATCAAATGAAAGAAGATTAACACATTGGTGTAAAAACATTGTAGAATTTTTTTAATGGGTAACCAAACTATTTACAATATCTTTATATTAAAGCCTATTATAGAAAGATATCTATGTAAACAATAGGGTAAATTGTGGATATTTCCAAAGTGTTTGACAGTACTAACCATATGAAATTGTGGACAGTCCTAAAAGAAAGAGGTGTATCTCCAAAAATGATAGGAAGTTCAATCAATCTATAAATCAGCAGAGTGTGAAACAAATGGTAGACCTATGCCCAATAGCTATCAAAATTCTGATCAGTTTACAATGTGAGAAACTAAGTTAGACCGATTATCTATAATGATTAAATTGAAGGATCAGTTAGAGCTTCGCATTGATACGTTTGTTTACACATTTCGTCATTGTTGAAACTTTGTTCATCTTGTAGATTTGACAACATCTATCCATTTATCCAGCTTAAAATGCAACAAGAAATATTTTTGAAACAGGTCTTTAATTCTTGCTTCCGAGTGAAACATTTACAGTCTAGATTTTAAGCCTTTCAAGGGATGCATGCCCCTGGGCCCCCCTGGAGGGCGGAATTACATAGTGTTTTACACCGTTGGGGGGGTCCACCTTCAAAGGTTCTCCGGCTACCAGAATATATTTCTTGATAGCCCATTGGGCTATATGTGATACTTCTTGGTGTCATACACTGAAATCAGTAAAATCTTGTGCAAGCTTTCAGGACTTATTTTCTGAAATGTTTCAATGTCAACGTGGAGTATATCAGGGCTGCAGTTTAAGCCTGTTTTTATTTTTATTCCTGTTTGTTCATTTGTTGTTTAACGCCACACTCAGCAATATTCAAGCTGTAGGACAGCGGTCTGTAAATAATCGAGTCTGAACCTGGAAATTCAATGATTGACATAATGAGCAAGGATCTACACAATTGGGATACGATGACATGCATCAACCAAGTCAGCTAGTCTGACGTCCCGATCCCATTAGTCGCCTCTTACAACAAGCATGGGTTGCTGAAGATCAGTTCTAAGGCGGGTCTCCAGTAATGAGTTAGTAAGCAGAATGGAGGAAAGCTGCCGTCTAGTTGTTATTTACAGATGACGTTATCCTTACTTCAGATACTATTGGGGGTTTGCATAAAGGAGTTAGAGAAATATTTGGCATTCAAAACCCATTTTATCAGAATTCATGTATGTCTATGAATAGGACTGGCATAGCATGCGTCAAAACAGTACCAAAACATTATCATATTTATGGTTTAAAGTTACTTTTTTTACAGAGTTGTACCAAACTTTTACAGCTGTCAAGAAATTTAAAGTGGCCAATTCAAGCACAATTTCATTTTTTTTTATATCAATTGCATACTGAAAATGATAAATATGTTAATATACCACAAAGTGATTGACTCTGTATGTAAATGTAACCGGTATGGCTACCAGTATATGTAGGATGAATACCAATTCCTTCTAGTTTGCTCTGCAAATAAACAGTTATGCACAAAATATATACAAGAGAAGTAGAGCCTTCATCACAATAAAAATTAATTTGACCTGTTTATGGCCACAAGAAGCAATATGTGTGTGTGCGTGTGTGTGTGTGTGTACCTTTATCATGCAATGATCCAATGTAAAACAATTCCAAGGGAATGTCATAAATCCTTTCACTGATCAATTCCATTTTTCAAGTATCTTGTATGTATTCTGCATGTCATGTAATTAAATGAAATAAAATGTTATATAATGGGGGGTCAGCAAAATATGATCCAGTCCTAAGACCAATTGCACACGACCGAAACCCCTATAATAAATTACCAGTTAAACCAGTCCATAGATTATAGGGCTGGGACGGGTAACTTGGGTACCATGGGTACTCGGGTTGGGTAGGTCCTGAGTAGGACCCGGGTACCCACAGGACTACCTGGACCCATGGACAGTCACGTGATATATTGTTTAATGACAAAAACTCACTATAGCTTAGTGGTTACACTACAAGTGTAATGTTCGCAGTTCTTTCTGACGATGCATACATTCCTTTTGACTTGTATATGTTTGAGTAAAGATAAAGCTTCAATCAATTTCAGTGTACGCATGATCTGATCTTTTGATACATGTACTAGTATTTAAATAGTTTTGTCCAGGGCTGCGGTAAAACAATTCCCAATCAGACATTTTGTTCCCAACTCTTGAGACCTGCAGTGGGTACCCGGGTAGAATAGGGTAATAGGGGGTCAGGTACCCGGGTAGTAAATTTGGACTCATCCCAGCCCTACTAGTTTTAACCCAATTTACTTTTGTTTCAACATACCCAGGCTAAATAATAAATTGTGTACATTGCCTGTTGGTTCTGCCTGCTCTTCTGCTCTTGGTACACCTTAGCCTGTCTCACAGTCCCTGAACCATATTATTTTTCCTTCCATCCATCCCTTAATTATAGTACTAAAACCCATAAGAAGGGGATATACAACTCTAAATGAAGAAAATCTAGATTTTCCAAAGATTCAGTTGAAATGTAACTGCTTGTTTCCATTAAAATTACATATTTTCAGAGGCTAAGCGATAGTCTAGTCAAACCGTGTCAAATGTCTTATAAAAGTGATTGTACTGGCGCTCCCTTAACTATGCGTTTTCGAAATCACGGCGACAGAATTGTGACAAAATAGTGAATATACAACCATATGTCACAAATTAATATGTCGCCTCTTCATATTGAATAACTGTCATAAATGAACTACAGTTTTGTGTCGTTTACTATTCGTAATACCATATAGATCTAGCCGCAAATATAATGAAATGTATAACGCCCAGTTAGGCGATAACACGTAGCACAGTGGTGCAAGTATTATTCCAGACCCCAGGCGGTGAAATATCTCACAGTAATGTTTCAGTTTGAATAATTGGTGTCACAATTCTGTCACATTATTGGTAATGTATTTTCACAATGGCAATTATTCGAGCATTGTTTAGAATAGGATTAGTCGCAGTTAGGCTTACATTGCTCCATGTCACTTTCCTGTTGTTTACATCGCCACAATGGACTCGTCCGTTACGGCTCATTGGCATCACCGTGCGATAGCTTTTTAGCGTATACTGTCTAATTGAGCTGTGTGCCAATACTGACAGCATCTGCTATTGTGTTAAATTGCCAATATTATTACACAGGACTCTATATTTCTGTGTTGTTATTGTTGTGTAGAAAGAATATTTGTTCCCCCATTGTGGGCGAGTCTAATGGCTTCCATTAGGTCGACGTGCCAATCAAAGGCGCCAAACGCTGTCACATGGTAAGGCGAAGGTCTATAAATTGAAACTCGCCGACAGACTCGACCTCTTTTCCACCCAGTTATCAGGGAGAAAAGCACTACAGCCTCATCTGGCAATCATGAATGGCGATCACTACAGAAATATTAACCAACATTATGCAGAAGAATGCAGTCAGGATGACATCGGATCATTCCTCTTTTCATCCGAGTCTGTAGGGGAAGGACACCCAGGTACTTGTTTCGATTGTTTTACCTCGCAAACGCACATGGTCTTGAGAGACGCACTTTCGGTGTCATTTTCTTACACCCGATCTTAATGCAAAAAAACTCTGCAATTATGTCAGTATCCGTAAGGACTAGGTAGTAAAATCGGACCAAGAATCATCATTACTTGTCGAAATGCATTGATGAGATTAGCATAGACAACGTTAGGCGTCTTCAGCTTGAATGCTTGGGTCACATGAGTTTGTTTTGACTTTGGCTAATTGACAGCTAAACATTTTGGCAGAGGGTAGGTCTATCTGAATATTATTAATGCAGGCATCTTTTTTTTAAATGATAGCTGACTCTAAACAGGCGAAGGCTTTGACATATTAGTTTGGCCAACCTTTAGAATTCAGAACCACAAAGTTTATTATTATTGCACAGGAATGTAGTTTATTATGTATTTGTCATGTTTGTACTGCTGGAAACTGTCACGTAACATCAATCCAAGCCACCTTCACTTGCTACATTTGATCAGTAATGATTCAAAAGCAGACTCATCCTTGTGGTGCAAGTAGCCATACCTTTCACATTTTTACTGATCCATGTTATTGTAGTGTAGTGTTCTGTCCAAAACTACCCAACACATTTTATGTACCCTGTCATTCATGTGTACTCGTGTGTTCAGTGACTGGCATCTGGAGCCGTTTTCAGTTTGTGTCATTGGCATATTCGTTCCGTCAAGATCACTCATAAGTGTACGTAGACTTTGGTAACAATGTTGAGTGTTCAGCACCATGGTGTTAAGGCATGGCTTAGTAAATTTACACTCTGTTTACCTGTCTGGGCCGAGGTCAGTCGGTTAACTTGTCGAGTACAATTGATTTTGGTTAGTGACATGTGACCATAGGCAGAGAAGTAGATCTTGTGGTGAAGAATATTAAAGGTGTAGCATAAATAGCCTTGCTGTTGTATACCCAAATTTCAGCATATATATATATGAATAGGGTATACCGTATTCGACGTAATAAGCGCCCAGGGCGCCCTCAAAATTAGAAATAGGGGGCTCTTATTAGTATGTTATTTTGGTGAAAAAAAACAGAGTTGAAAGATACATTTCGTGGTTTATGCTGACAGCCTGAAATGTTTATGTACGACAGATATATTTTTCCAGAATTAAATGCCCATAATTAAGGGTGCATATAACACACGAGTGCGTATTATACGTGAATAAATAGGTCTTGTGTACATTGATCAATCGGAAGGGGTGCTAATTGGGATTGTTCACAAACCAATTTCTTAGCAAATGTCGCCGTGGGCGCTTATTAGAGCGGGGCGCTTATTACGTCGAATACGGTATATCTTTTTCATATTGAAATCGTCTGATTATTTCTGAGACAACAATAATTGTTTTTGTCTGTTAGTTTCATGAATCAACTTAAAAAGATACAAGGGCTTAACATGGTTGATAGGCTTTGATGTAATCGTAGTGTTCGCTCTATACTCACTACTCAGCATCGCTAAGTCTAAGAGTTTGGTAAATTTCTCTGTAACAACATGACCTAATTCCGTGTGAAATAAATTTCTTGACAGAATACCTTCTCATTACCAAAGTAGCAGAATTGTATTGAACACAAGGATTGTTGGAAAATCAACCACTCAGAATTGCTGATGCAATCATAACTAACTATGACAGCAGTCACATTGTTGGAAATTACATGACAAATTTGCAATCTCTAGTTAATCCTTACTTGATAACACTGATATACCAGATCTCATGTATATGAATATGTACAGAAGATAAGGTACAGTTTGGTAATCATCATTGCCAGAGGAGATGGAGTTGGAAGATACCAGGGGTTCGAAGCCCAAATCAGGATAGAGGACTGCAAAGGTTTTGTCACGGACAAGTTGTGGTTATCGTTTTTAGTCTTGATGAAGTTGTGACCCTGAACAAGGAATCAAAGCTAAATTAGTAAATAGGTGAAGCCTTTTCCTTACTTGTATAGTAATATATGGTACCTGGGTGTATCTGGAGTTACTACCTTTTACTATCAGCACTGCAATATCACCTTAATTGTTAAAGAAGCTGAACCGTTTGCAAAATAGAGTTTTTGTGGCAAAGTCGTCTTGTTACTGTGGACTAGTATTCTAATAATATATTCTTTTATTCTAGTACAAAAAAACATTTGTGTCAGAAGTGATACAAATAAATCTTTTAAAAAGGTGATTTTGAATTATTTTTCTTTCTTTTTTAGCATTTTGGTATCAGTAGGTCCATAAACCAATAATGAGACAAAAACCTGCAGTGAAGGTCACATGATCATGATTATATAGCCAGACTTGTATGTACCGATGTAGGTCATGTCTAATCAGCATTTCACCTTGATAACCTCAATAGATTACCAAATGTTCTGTTACTTACTTAAAACATTTGGTCTAGTAATATTCAGCATGTTCAGTAGACTCCTAACTTAGTTTTGTTATGACTCTTATGATATTGCTTCTATTCCCATGATTACTAGGTAGTGTTCATAATTCTGAGAATCTTGCTGCTTGTGATTAAGACAATAATGCTAATGCTCCTTGATGTTAAAATTGATGTGGGTTGGTTATGTAGCCTAGTGGTTAAAGATTTCACTCATCACGCCGAAGACCCGGGTTCGTTCCCAGACATGGGAACAATGTGTGGATAGGGGTGTAATGCATGCCTCAATCTCATATAGCCAAATAATAACTTTAAAAATGTAAAGGCCAGAATGTGTTTGGCTCTCCTATATATCACTTGCAGTGTGAAGAGTTAGATATGAATTATGTAATACCATAGAACAGGAAAGAATAATTAATATTGCCAGTGTTTTGACATGTTGAGACAAGTTGTTACTAGACGAGAGTTTTGTACTTGTTCACTCACTTATATTTCCCTCATGTCACGGACAGAAGTAAAATGATGGATCTGTTTTTATAAACATTTCATTCCTACATTTCAAAATATACGAACATTTTGCCGTCATGATCAGGGGTCAGACTCAGTCCAGTTATAACTCAATTATTTCAGTAATTAAAAGGCTCAAGTAATGGTGATTTTATTACTTCATTTATAAGAGCTAAATTTTTCAAGAAAGCTGAAGAGAGAAACGATGAGAGACCAATGAGTTAAATCTCAACTCATCCTTCCAAGGTATCAAAATGTTTAGTAGTCTCCAAGCAAACTAGTGGCCCTGTGTCACCCTGAGATACATTTCTCTGAAGTAACCAGTGAATAGTGTGTACATTAATTATTTATTAACGACAACGTTTTGCTTTCCAGACAAAATATGTGACCAGATCTCTGATGCTATCTTGGACGCACACTTAAAACAGGACCCCAACGCCAAGGTAGCATGCGAGACCGTTGCCAAAACTGGCATGGTTCTGGTTGCCGGGGAAATCACATCCAAAGCTCATGTTGACTACCAGAAAGTCATCAGGGACACAATCAAACAAATCGGTTATGATGATTCTTCAAAAGGTAGGTCACTGCTCCCTTCTAGTTGTACAGGAAATATAAGCCGCTTTGCTGTAGTAGACCTCAAAAGTTTGTTTTTGAAGAGAACCACTTGCCCTTAATGTTTGGACTGGTAATGGTCATGTTAAACCGACCCTGTATGCGTGTTGTATAAGTCTTATCCAAGCTGCCTCTGATAAATTAACAAGTAAAATTAGTGATTCTTCATATGGTGTCATAAAGATTGGTTCGCAAGGGTGTAGATATGGTATCTAAAAGATTGGTTCACAGGGGTGCAGAAAATCAATGCCCGACCTGTCAGACATGTATGTGAGATCACTGGACAAAGAAAGAAATTCAGCTTCAGTTGCCTGCGGGCAGCCTTAAATGGCCATTAGACAATTGTTGTAACTTGTTCTGAACTAGTACTGAATATAGCTTTGAAAAATGAATGCATGAAAAGTGCATCCAGCGAATTATTGATTTTGTCATTAAAAACAGCATTTTTGCCCAATAATCTGGATGAGTAGACTTTGTGTCTAGACAAGTGATATTTTTTTTTCCTGTTTCAAGTTCACAATATTGATATTTCCACACCCCTGGTTAAAAACAGTTTGACTGTGGTGCAGATGCCTATCATTATAGTAAGCCATGCTTTTGGGCTTGCCAATGTACTATAGGTGTGCCTGCCATAGTGTCTAGACATGCTCGGACATGTTATATGCATGTACACATGGGAAGGGATATGTTTAAATGAACACAGCATGATTCTCATTGTCTCTCTGCCTCAGGTTTTGACCACAAGACCTGCAATGTATTGATCGCCTTAGAAGAACAAAGTCCAGATATCGCACAAGGTGTTCATGTTGCCAGAAATGATGAGGATATTGGTGCTGGAGATCAGGTATGTCAACAGTTATCTCCCCTTGAATCTACAGATATTTGAGTTCTTGAGTTTTGGATAAGGAATTGTCTAAGCAGGATAAGCACACAAACTGTTTCAGCTGGATACTGTAAACTTTGATAGGTCTGAATTTGATTGTAAAGTCAGAGATTTATCTGGACCTGCAACAGTTGTTAGTAAAAGTTACAATTTTCTCTTTTTGTCTTAATCTTGTCGATATAGTTGTAACTAATATTTAT